CCCCCCAATCAAGTTTTTCAGATGGGCTGTATTGTTGCATAATTCCAATAAAAAATAAAAAATAAAACTAAGAAAATACACACCCACAGCACAAACATAGAGGAGATATCCAGTTCACTTAGGCAATAAGGCCTTACAGACGCCAATAATATTTAAAGGAATAGGATTTGAATTCTTTACTTCAAACATGACATGGCAAGTACTGATAACTGAGGAATTTTACACACTACTGTACTCATCAATTTTAAGTTCTTCAGAGACTTGAACACTCTTTGCTCTTTGAGTCTCTTAGCAATAGCCTTCACTAGGCATGTCCTTGAGACCACAGTAACAAGTGGTAGTGGTCAGATGCCCACACCAGACAGTGAATCATCCAACTGCTGTAGCCCCATTCTGCTTTCCCAAAAGGCCATGCAAAATGCATGAGCTTGAACGTATGAGAAAATGCTCACACACAAACACTTTGTACATAAACACAGTCACACAAGAATACACAGTCACTACATGAAAGTATAGTCACTGAGGAAGGTGCACGAAAACACACAGACAGGGATTTTAACTTGTGGAAGTACACAACAGCTGATCTAGTTTTAAATGTGCGCATGCACATGTATAGTGAGGGGCTGAGTTGAGTGAAGTGCTACTCTAAAGCCCAACAGGATTTTCCAATCAAGCAGCAGAAAGATTAATAGAGGCCTACTGCATGCTTTATGGTGAAAGCCGTGCAAAAGAGAAGTCATTACACTGAGTAGGACATGTAGCCGCTACTTGCTGAGTTTTGTTCATAATGAAATTTTAATAAGAGCAAAATTTAATAGGCAAGTTGAGCTGCCATTAGCTGGGAATGACTGGAGCTCCAGTGCCATCATTGGAACTCAAACTACTACGGTCTTTGCATATGAGCATTTGCCTCCAACAGGGTGAGTGAATCAGATTTCCCTAAATTCTGTAATCTGGTGCAAGAGACTTAGAACAAAGATTCAGATTCCTTGCCTGGAGAAGTATCTTAATCTTTTCAGTGGCCTTCTTTTCTTAATCTGCCGAGCAAGGTTTGTCGAATTCAGAGCAATACTGCCTTCTTTTCAGACAAAGCCAAAGCAATGAACATGAGTCTACACTAAATCTCACAGCTCAGTGAATGGATTCCATTTAAGACTCCTATGTGGGACAGATGAGACACTCTTTCTGACTTTCTTGAAGGCCGTGTTCTTGGAGGAATAGCGATGATGTCATGCAGTCTTTTGTTGAGGCCTCATGGGATGTTGCATATCACAGTTATACATTAATGGGTAGGCCTCCCAAAGATGTCAGCCTTATAATAGACTGAATAAAGCCGTCCTGCAAGCGCTAGCGTACCACTGCCGTTTTCTAATGGAGCCTGTGTCTGTCAGTTAACCGTGAAAAAACCAAAATAATGATTAAAAAAAAAATTATAAGGAGTAGGGCCATAAGAGGTGTGTGTCAAAGCCTGCATGTTGTTCTAGACAAACACAACAAACTTTGCTTGCTCATGTCACAGTGCCTCAACTGATTTAGTTTTATGTTAATGAGAATCAAAGGGAACATGTATTTTTCTTGATTGATAATCTGTCAAAAGTATGTCTCAGTGCATACAACACATCAGGAGAAACAGAACCTATAACCTTTTTTTCTTTACTCTGCCTTTTAAAAAGAAAAGACAGCAGGCTAAAGTAAAATGAAAGAGAAAGATGAAGGGAGGAAATTAAGCAGAGGAAACCCCAAAAAGGAAACATGCATCTAGGCCACTGAGTCATTTCCCGTGTGTTTTGCTTTTTCCTCTTCTTTTTTTCAAATATACACTGACAGTATAAATTATGTACATCATCATTGGAGTTTACACAGAGTGGGAGAGGGCCCATGGGTTTTAAGCTTTAGGATTTCAGCTTTTATCCCCTGTAAAGTCTGCCCGCAATTAGTCTGGGAATTAATTCAGGCTCAGAACTTAGCCTCCCCCTTTCCTCTTTTAGATCTTTACTGATTCATCCAAGCCTCTTTTGCTCACACTCGCAAAAAAAAAAAAAAAAAAAAAAAAAAAAACAAACCCCGACATGGGGAATAAATGTGATATTTTCCCCATGGAGGCCAGATTTTACCCATACAAATAACTTAAAGGTAGCACCAATGTTATAGAGAATTTTATTTAAAAAGTTAATGATTTGTATTTTTATGCCATATCGTGATGAGGATGGTTCTGCATATATGTGCATCTATTAAGGAGATGTGGTTGGTCAATTATGAAGAGAAATAAAAAATAAGAAATTACGTAACACTTCCTGCTGCACTTAAATGGAGCATGGTTCAGTGATCCAGCTGCAACAAGTGCTACCAGTAAATATTCTAAGTCGAGATTTTATGAAGTGCCTCGCAGTATTCAAGACTCAACAAGGTAGATGAGATCAGGAGTACAACCAAAACCATGCTCAACAGTTTCATCAACATTCACACGGTTCTGCACTTTGATTCTGTTCCCCAGGGCCAGAATGGCAGTGCTAAGTTTAACTATAATGACCTAAGCCAAACGAGGGAGGAGATTCATTGCAAAAGTCCTAATCTGTTGTATGTATTATTGTTCCAGTGCATGCCCACTCCAAGCTATTTCTATGTGGCTTTTTTGGCCACACCAGCAAAATTATGACTCCTAATTTGCCCTACATGCCAGAATTGAGTCCAAGTATATTTGTTCTGATTTTTACATAAATTATGTCCACTTATTTCTTTTCAGCTGTCTCTCAGAAATGAAACGACTGCCATTTTGCTGTTCTCAGTTTCACTTTGTATCTCCTCTTCTTGGAGGTGCAGGCACACACAAACACACATAGTGTAACAGAGTGCAGAGGAGAGCAACAAAAAAAGCAGTCAGATACTCATCACAATAGGGGGCATCAGGTGACTCATAGCCTGTAAAAGCTACCCAGTGGTTTTTTTGGGGTTTTTTTAAAGGCTAAAGGTGTTAACAATCTTTTCACGCTTGTGTTTCATGTTCAAACAGTAAGGTTGGAAATGAAATGTAAAAGGGGGAAAGGTGTGGCTATATATTCCAGTCTGAGATGGTCATGCTCTAGAGCAGTACTCAGTGGTCCTGAATTTTGTATATAGCACTTCTAAACTTTTATTTTCCGAAGTTATATCTAGAAAAAAAAAAGGAAATTCTCCTTTGATTGATGAATTATTTTAACAACTAATGTATTATTAAAATGTTTTTAATCATTTAATTTTATGCCCACAGATTTAGTTTTAATTAGCTGTTAACTGACAATCAGGTAGTTCTCGCAGCAAGATCTGTAATACTAACAATCTCAATTTCATTGTACTTTTTATGTGATCCATTATTAGAACCAGATGGAAAAAGCTAAAAACCATTGTGTGCAGCCTAGCTGTATGCAACTATCACAATCACAATTTTGAAGGCATTCAGCCTCATTTCCTGCTCCAGGACACATGTAGAAAAATAGCAGTGCTAGACAGATTTTAAGAACAGTGTCATTAATCAGTAAATCACACTGAGCTTTTTTTTTGTAATTATCCTGGTGTTTTCTCATCATTTCTAGCTTTGACTGGTAGTCCAGGTTGCTGCTCCTGGTGGGACCTATTAGGTTCTTCAACGCCTCTGGCACCATGTCACTATGGAATTGGTAAAGTCTTACTATCCCTGCATCTCTGCTTTAATTGTGCACTGTGATATCACTGGTACACACTGATAGAAGGTCATGAACCATGTGGTCAACAAAACTCTACAGTTCTTTATCTGTTGCCAAATCAATAATTAATCATGTGCGTTTTTGTATTGCAAATATTTTTTGGTACAGGGAAGTGGCATAAATAAATAACAGGAACATTTTGTAACAAATAGCCAAATATATCACAGTCAGAGAAAGGATGTTTTCATGCTAGAAGAGGAATAAAAAGGAGTGGCAGACCAACAGAAGCTTTTAGACTTGATGAATATCAAGTACTGACCAATGCAGTGCCTGCAGCTGGTTCTCTGTTTCATTTATTATCAGAGCAGTCATGTGTAATGGAGTACCAATGCTCAGCACAGCTCATTTAATTTCTCTATACAATGAACAGTTTGAAAGCTAATCAATGAATAACTTCTTAATTATACTGTGTATTATAATAATCACAACTTAAACAAGCAACTTGAAGCTTGGCATCTAATCCAGCAGTAATATTGGCTTGATACTTCATTCTAAATTGTTTATGAAAGCACAATAGGCTTTCCTATCTGACATGGCTCCTGTATCATACCAGGAAACAATAGCTGGACGCGGGTCAGGCTGGCTACCGTCTATGACAACCCAGTGAGGGTGTGTGCATGTCGGCTTCTTTGATACCCTCTTGGCCTAACAATGCAAGTACTTCCTATCTAGCAGTCTGGGACGATATCATCCTTGCAATTATGCTAAGGTTTGCAGCCTTCTGGGTCATGATGAGAGCCTGTGTGTGAGAGAGTGAGTGAGTAAACTATAATGACTGAGGGAAGCAGTGGGGCTGGGTGTTGACTGGTAAGTCGCAGTGTAATTGGACAATTGTTCAGTTTAACCCCAGGCTCTCAGGGTTCATAAAGGCATCAAAAGCTCTCCTGGTAAACACTATTAAGCAAGAAAGGGGTGGCTGAAGTACTTACTTTGGCTGGCCTTACATTTTTTTCCATGAGAAACTCCTATGTTCCTCATTCATTATGACACACAACAGTCCAGTTGATGAATACAGAGATAACACAAAAAGCTTGGCTGGAAAGTAGCAACTATGGGAAGAGACGCAAGTGCAAGAGAAATTCAGTGTTGTCTCTTAGTCCAACCTCCATGCCTTGTTTGTCCTAATGTTTTCTTGCCTTTTAAAGAAGTGCCTGTGAAAGAAGCCAGGCTGAAATACAGAGTTAGCTAAAAATGAAAAATAAAACTCACATTTATCTTGATACACTGCTGGCTGGTGACAG